ACGTTGATAACCGACATTAAGTTTGTTAGTCAAGAATGACCTTTGGTAAATCTATGTTGAGAATTGGTATACAAGGATTGGTTGTTAAAATGTGAAACTATGTAAGATTTTATATATTTTTCCAATATTTTGACAACAATACAGGTGAGGCTAGTTGGTCTATAGTTTTCGGCCAGTGACTTATCTCCTTTTTTAAAGCAGGAACAATATGGGCATCTATCCAGACTTGTTGTAAAGGCTTCATTATTATATGACTTTTCAAAAAGTATGAAGAAAGGAACTGAAATTGTATGAATTCTTAAGGAAATCTTGAATAAATGTTATCCAGTCCTGGTAATTTATGTTTGAAACTACTCAAATGTATAGAGATATTAGTGGGAGATAAATAGGTGGGAGATAAATAGGTAAAGAGATATTAGGTACACTTTCGTTTAAAAAAAACTATTGGAATGGATTTTATATCATCATGAACAAAAACCGAGGTAAAGAAATTTTTTAATATACGAATTGTTACAATTGCCACTTTGCTGTTAAAACTAATATTTTGTTATGTATTTCTGAACATTCCTGACAGAATATATATACAAAATATAAGTTTTATTAAAACTAAATTCTACTTTAAGATAGTTGTAAAATTTACTTTTCACTAATCTTGTCTCTTATTTAGTTTCGATTTAGCTGATTTAATAAACGTATGCGCCGTTCACCCTAAGTTTTTTTTTTTTTTTATTTGTTTGTTTTTAAACAAAACTGTCACAATCATCTATTTTTTATTATTATGTGGTATTTAACACAAATTTAAAACTTAAAACTTGATGCACATTTTTCTAATATTGACAGCGGTATGTTATACGTGATCAATACTTCTGGATTTTTAAAATACCAGATGTGCCAGCTGGGCAGGTGAACGTTTTTTAAAACCTCTGTTACTTTTCTTTCCCGTTCATTCTCTCCTTTCCTTCCTACATAGCAAATATTAAATTTGTGCAAGTTTGTCTTTCAATCCCTGAAATAAACCTAATGTGCAGTTTTTTATGTAGCCTTGAGTTATTCTTGTTATAAAATCTTTATGTCTGTTTGTAATTTGGTAAAAAAACGATACAAACTTGTATTTCTTGTGCATGTTTTATCTACTGGAACTAATATATTTCCATTTAGTTTAATTTAATATTAGAAAAAATAGCAATAAGCATAACGTAACTTTAGGGTTTTTTTAGTTATTGCTAAATTGTTTGAAAACACTATACACAGTCATGATTTTAGTGTTTTTATTTAACATAACAATACATTTATTTTATTGTATGCTTTTAATTACTTTTTAAATTATTTAATTAAAAAAAAAAAGAAATGCTTTAGAACTCCTGTCATAAAAAAAACGTGTAATTCAGTTGTTTTTGTAATGATTATTTAAACTATGTTTTTTTGTCTGACTTTAATCAAACTTTTTGCAAAAAGTCAGATGAAATCTTGACTAAGTTTGCTAAAAAATTGAAAGTCCTAAAAAATCTAAAAAATTGCATAATATAAGCCAAATAATATACCACCAATCTTCAGTAAGTTTAAAAAATGTTGTTTGGCATTGTTTTTATCTGCTGTTAGTCTTTTATCAATAATCGTTTTTATGTCATCGTTATTAGTTACGTTTTGTCAGTTTATTACTGTTTGTAACTCTAACTGTATATATATAATTGATTGTTGTATGGAAGATTGTATTGATTTAATTCTTTTAGTTACTGGTGTTTATAATTTTTGCTGACGTAATTAATGAACAGCTTTCTATTAAATATTTATTTAACAATTCCGTTATATATGTATTGTATTTATTATTATCATGTTTTTATTTTAATCATTATTATTGGGTGTTAATTATGCTCACCGGTGATATTATTATTGTTATTCTTATTATTATACAATTAATTATTTTTATTATTGTTGTTTTGTTAAATTATTGCTATTTTTATTATCTCTATAACTATATGTGTCTGTAATATGTTTTATATCATCAAATAGGTTTTTACTTTAAATTAGTTTTTATAACTATTTGTAACGACCGTGGAAGTTAGATCTTTTTTTCCAGAATATATAATTGATTGATTTTTTTGTTAACATTCTTGAGTATTTCAGTAAAGCATATTGTTTCGAAGAATGTAATTTGGAGAGGTTCGGCTTAGTTTTGTAATAGTTTCATATGGGGCGTTTTCAAGTCTACTACTATAACAACAACTTTTAATAAAGTTGCAGTCATTATGGCATAGATATTTTGTTTGTTGCAGTCATTATGGCATAGATATGGCATAGATATTTCCATAGATATTCTGGTAATTTAGATTCAATAAGTATGCATCTAACAACATCAAACAAACTTCGCCAGTTTTGTTTGGCATTACCATTTTGATAAGGAAAATATGGTGAGGTATGCTCATGCTTGATATAGTTTTCTTATAAGTTCTTGAAATTCCTCTGAAATATTTTCAACTCTGTTATCACTTCTAATTCGACTAACACGTCCAAATAGATAAAGTCTTTACATTACCATATGGAGAAATGTCTTTTAAGAACGTTTCTGTAGCATGTACAGCGTCTGACTTATGCATTAAAAAATGAGTGAATAAACATCCTAAGTAATCATCAGTGAAACAAATAACTTATCTATATCCGTCTTTTGCGATTGGCACAATAAGCCAAGCTAAATCTGTAAATACTAACTAAATAGGATACATTGCTCAAATATTAGCTTCTTTGATACTTGTATATTAATTTGTTTTCCTAAAATACATGTTACTCAAAAATTATTATTACTCTTGGTAATCTTCATACCTTCAACAACTTCTTCTAACTTCTTCAAATCAGCGAAATTTCAATGTCCTAGGATTTTTGCCATGTATCAATGGTTTCTTTTAGAACTTTACTCGTTGAAGTTTTGAGTAAATGATATAATCTACCTTTTTAGCAATCAATTCTACACTATTACCTTTGAAATTGACAATTGCACCTTTTTGTGAAGCAGCTTGAAAAGAAAATATACAATTAGGGTAACTTCGTATAAATAAAGTATTTTCTATTTTAACTTGAACTACATTTCCATCCTCAGTAGTTAATTCTACTGAAATTGTTCCACGATTTTGGGCCACATTGTTATTTTTTGTACCATCAGCCAACTCAATATAATATTCTTTTTGTTTAAAATGGTCATCCAGGTAAATAAAATATTTATCCTAATTAATTATATGAGTTGTTGCTCCGCAATCAACAAGGAATGATTAATCGTCAGATAAAAGTTGAATTTTTCCGTCATCAAATTTAAATACATACTTTTGATCAATATTTTGCTCTGTTTACGTTTTGGCTTTACCTCTTTCCTGCTGCTGTTTACGACAAGATTTGTCATTATGAGTGCTTGATTTACACAATTTACACCATTTTCTTTCTTTGTTTTCATAACAATCTATAAATTTGTAATCTGGAGTGCCACATGTGTAACATTTTGCAACATTTTTATTTTTAAATTTCACATTCTTTTTCATAATACTGCTCATATTTAATTCAACCTGATTACTTCTTAAATTTTCAATTATTTCAAAGTGCCTGTTTAAATTTTTGGAAACACTTAGTTTCTGATTGCGTTACAACCGCAATGAAAAATTTATGTTCATTTGGTAATCCCATTAAGACCATTGCTACAAAGAGTAAATTACTTACAATTTCTTCTGCAGATCTCAATGCTGTTGCTGATGTTTCTGGTCTTATTATCTATAGTCTGTAATTGACTCCGAATTTAGTTTTTGAAGAGTTGTAATTTGATTGTATAATGTTATAATTATTGGTTTGCTACATCCAGCATAGTGTTGTTTACGTATTGAGAATGCTTTCCTTAATCTCGAGCATCTCTCATTATCAATGAAAGCGATCTTTTATCTAGGTATTGAATCAATTCTGCAAACCCTAATTCGTTTTCATCGTCGTTGACTTCTTGAGTTTGAGTAATAAAATCTTTAAAACCTTTTAGTTTCATGTATTCTTATATTTTTAACTTCCATAATTCAAACTTTTCATCGTCTCCATCGAATAATAAACTTTGATATTCGCTTCTGGGCACATAACCTGTTAAGTTAGGCTTCGTCATAACGGAAGAATAAAAGAGGAATAAAAACTAACTCAATATATGAATATATATATGAATATATATATATATATATATATATATATATATATATATATATATATATATATATATATATATATATATATATATATATATATATATATATATATATATATATATACGTATATATATATATATATATATGTATATATATATATATATATATATATATATATATATATATATATATATATATATATATATATATATATATATATATAATAATAATAATAATAATAAGAAGCTGCCATATTTACACGCGTGCTTTTAATACTCTGCTTAACTACTTAATGGTCCGCAAAGAAACAACAAATACAACGACTGTATAGATGATATCACTCGATCACCACAGTCTATACAATATCTTTTATAAATATTGTTTTATAGTGAATAGTTGCTGAGCACACCTAAAAAGATTTAACATTTGTATCTGTCAATACCAAACTAAGCTGTGTTGCTGAAATTCTAAATGTAAAAAGTTAAATGAAATACATCTACCAACGCAACATTACAAAAAAATTTTAAATAAAGTTTATTTTGCATACTGTTTATGTACATACTATTTAAGTAACCTTATTATTTATTCAATATAAATAATTTATGATAAAAAACTTTAATATGTAAGTATTTAGAAAGTTTTTTTTTATTAAAAATATTAAACTTTATTAAACTCTTTGCAATTAATAAGTTATTAAGCAAACAAAAAAAAATATTTACAATTTGTTTTTCCTATAAAATGATCATTTTTTACATAAATAGACAAAAAGAATTATTATTTTTAAATGTTATCAAATAGTTATTTTAGTTTATGAAACAAAGCAAATCTCATTTATTACAGGAATGTTCTTAACATATCTCTCGCATTGAAGGGTAGTGGTTGCAATGTTACAATAGAGTTTTTTCTTCCACCTTTTATCACTTTTACTTCTGACAATGTTCCATCTGGATTTTTCAAAATAAACTCAAGTCAGACCAAGTATTCTGTAAGCATTTTTATGTTTTTTAAACTGTTTTAAATTTATTACTTTTTTATATTTTTGTTTTTCTAATAAAAATATAAAGCATGAAAATATGTATGAAACAGTGTTTAGTTAGTGCAATATATAAATTATGTCTTAAATTTTTTTAATATGTACTTATAAAAATTTATTTTTATATATTTTTTTCAGAGTCAAGTTATCATATAAATTTATATAGTTATTAAATTTAAAATATTATTGCTTAGTTTCCTGGATATTTTGACACAAATGTTGTTGTTATAAGCAGCATAAAATTGTTTTTAAACAAAAGAAAATGTCTCGGAGGTTTTCCTATTGAAATTCCGATGAAATTAAGTTATCAAAATAAAATGAACGAAATCAAAGTTGTAACAATGGCATATCGAAAAAGTTTGCCTTGCTTAGAAAACTTTTCCAAAATATCAAAAGATAAAAATGCTTTGAGAGGTAGAGTTTGATATTTTTTTGTTTATTAAAATTTTGTTTTATTTAGTAGTAATAATAAAGGTGATCATTGTCATCATTATAAAATAATCATAATGGATGTTTACCAGAAATATTCTTGAAAATACAATACTATACAAATATTAATGAGGCCACCGTGATAGATTTAAAGACGGTGATTAAAAGTTATAGCTAAAATCTAGGTGTGAGGCAACTGCTCTCAATATTTTATAAAATTTAAATATTATGTTTTCTCTTTGGGATATTTTCCATTAAACCGTGAGTAGCCCATTTAACTCTATTAAAAACCAATAAAGTTCTATAGGTTAAACCATGGTTTTAAATTCATGTGTCATGTAGCACACCATTTGTTTCATAGTTACCCCATTAATTTTAATGGTTACCTCAAATTTCCCAAATATTATTCCATTAAAGTTCCTACATACAACAGTCTAAAATGGTTAACAAATTTAAATAATAAAGTTTTAAAATAAATACAGCTAAATAAGCAATAACTGATGCTAAAAACAAATGAGGCTGCATTTAAAAGCATAAAATTTTTATGAAATTTTAATGGAAGCAATATATGAAAACTCCCCAAACTTCTTTGAATTATACTTTTTACATGTATATATATACATATATATATATATATATATATATATATATATATATATATATATATATATATATATATATATATATATATATATATATATATATATATATATATATATATATATATATATATATATATATATATATATATATATACAGGGTGTATACTTAATTTCTGACCCCCTATATCTCGGTTTAAGAATACGGTATTTCAACACATACCATTTTATAACTGTCACATCAATTTAATTAGACAAAGAATATATGTTAATAGTCAATAATCAGTATTTTGTCCATTTCATTCTATGCATTGGGTAATTCTCCTTGGCAGGTTTTCTACTAGGCGAAAACACTCTACTTGCGTAATGGCAGCCCACTTCTGTTTAACACGTCTGATCAACTGTTCACGATTACGAGGTCGAGGATTTTGTAAAACACTGTCCTGGAGTCTTGGCCAAATATGTTCGATTACATTTAAGTCGGGCGAGTTGCCAGGCCAGTCGGTCCACACTGCTGGAACGTCTCTGTTGATCACATTTATTGTTGCTCTTGCCGTGTGGCAAGTTGCTTCATCTTGCATCAGAATAACTTTATTTCTCACAGGAAAGATGGTCTTATCATCAGCTGCACGTTTGTACACAGGTAGAAAAATATCACGGTAATATTGTCCATCAACAGTTTTATTTTGTTCAACAACAACCAGATCAGTTTTGCCATATCGAGAAATGCCGCCGGCTATCATAATCTTTAGACCGAATTTCGGACGTCGAACATAAGGTATTGACTCTGGTGTTGCTGTACGTACTATTTGATTTTGACGGTTTGGAGCCGGATATAATTCAATTGGACTCTCATTAGTCCACATTACGTTAGCTCGTTTCACTTTACCATCCGGTGAGTCATCTGCGAATCATTCTTCTTGCAAACGAGTACAAAAATTTACGCGATCAATGATGTTTTTTTGCGACAACATGGGTTTCACTTTCTGTGTATAGGCATGCTTTCCCTATGTAGTCTTGCGCGAGTATTTACTGATAGCACTGTGTGAAAGTGCTTTTCTTCTTTCTTTGTAAATGAGTGAAAAATTCAGCTTCTTAACTACAGTTCTCGTTCCAACTCCGACTTTGGGTTTGACCCACTTTCTGACCTTGTCCTTGGTTCTTGGTGAAAACTTTGTTGGCTTTTCAGGTCGCTGAGCATCTGTGACGTCACCCTCTTGTTTTCTTGCCCATTTCTTTCCAGTATTTGGAGAGACTTTACACTGTCTAGTGATTTTTTTAATGCTTAATCCTTGACTACATACTTGAATTCGATGACGAAGTTACTGTTTACCAGAACTCATTTTCAGATTAAATTGCTAAAAAACACAAATACATCTTAGTAACATATACATATAATACATATAAATACACATAGAGTAATTAATGTAAATCATAAACAGACACCAAGTATCACTGATATAAATAAGGCAAATAAAAATAATGCTGATTATTTCTTGTAGCCAAAATGCTAAGCATTAAAAAAGTGTAAACTTAATTTCTGACCCCAGTTTCGAAGAGTAGCAATACGTCATAAACAGTGAAGAAAAAATGTGTTATTAATTGGCAAACTAAGATCACATATTATGGAGTAATTAGGACAATTTACTTAAAAATCATGCTAAAACTATAGTCATAATGCCAAAGGCCGTGGAAGACAAGAAGAATGAAAATATCATTTTTATGTATGTTGACAAAATGGCTCCCATAAACATTTTCTGAAGTCATATCCTATCTGAAGTGAGCGTTTTACGTGCAGAAAGTATAGTTACACCAAAATACATACTATAGTATTTTTTTCCGAGCTAAAGAAGCATTTAAGAGAGCAACTCAAAATCTTGTGTTTGTAACATGTGGGGGGTCAGAAATTAAGTATACACCCTGTATATAAAACATATATATATATATATATATATATATATATATATATATATATATATATATATATATATATATATATATATATATATATATATATATATATATATATATATATATACATAATAAAATACAACATTAGTCCAACGTTGTTTTTTGGTTGTTGGCGAGGTTGCGTTTGTATCTAAAATGATATTAAAACAACGTTAACGGTCGATGTTGGGTCAACATAACGCGTAACATCGTTCGAACATCTTATCAACGTATGCGGGTTACATGGGTGGGACCCGAGAGATCGCATAATAGTTTTTTTTACTTTTTTAATTAAAAAATTGTTATTTTTTTGAACTATACTGGATGTTTCAGTGAAAAATATTATTTTTTATTTAAATATATGTTGTTGTTTTTTTAATTAATATACTTAAAATAAAGAAAAGTTTTTATTTTATACCTGATTTTTCCAAATTTAAAGATAAAAGAACATTTGTTTTAAATTTGGAAAGTTTTAAAGAAGTTTTTTGATAAAAGTTTAACCTTTGGTTTATGAAATTAAAAAAAAAAACTACAATGACATTTAATTTAATCAAAAATAGTTGCGAATCGGCGCGTTCATTTTTATGCATAAGTCTACATCCTACATCTAGTAGGAGGTAGACTTAGGCATTTAGTTGAATAAGTCCACTTCCTGCTAGATGTCTACTTATGCAGTTTTAAGTAATGCAAAACCTATGCATTAAACTAAAATTGAAAAAAAGATAAAACAGGCTTTGATATGTGAATATAAAATTTGTGTTGCCCAATCGCATCATAGGGAAAGAAAGAGTTTAAACATATTGCCTCTATATTAAAAAAAATGTTTACAAGTTATTAACAGTAATAATAATAATAATAATAATAATAATAATAATAAAGGATAAGCAAAATAGTTTGTACTTGGTATTCTTCAGTAAACACATACTAGTTCTATCTACTAATGAATACATGTGAAACTGTCAAATACTGGAAACCTTTTCAATGAAGTTTTAACCTTTATTTTTCAGTATAGTTTTATTTTTACAGTAATCAAATTTGTTTTCCTTTACATTGTTTAATCATGATAACAATAAGCTAAGGTTTGCATTTCCATTTTTTTTTTAAATTGTCGCACTAAAAAACCGAATATTTTAGTGGTTGACTTTTTAAAACTTACTTTTTAAAACGGTTTACTTTTTAAAACAGTTTTTGTGAATGTTATAAGTAAATAGTGTCACAGTTTTGAAATTAAAGTTGCATTTAAATTTTTTAGCAAACTTTTTTTTTTAACTTATAATTATTAAAAATTTCTTTACTTTTTTGTTACAAGTATTTATTTATTTATTGTTAATTACAAATCATTTTTAATGTTTCTGATAAAAATGTTTATTTTATAGTTTGTATTAAACAATTTTATTATTTATATTAATGAACAAATACTTTTAAAATTTGTAATTATTAATAAATATTTATTTAGTTGTTGGAAAATATTTACTTAATTCTTAGTTAGAAAAGAATATTTGTTTAGTTTATAGAAAGAATAATTAAGTTAAAAGCATATAACAGTTTTTGTTAATTTTAACTCAGAATATTATGGTCGTGGAATACTTGTGAATGCTGATAACTCATATTTATACATATGCATGAATCAAAACGTCCAGAGGTTATACTTTTTTAAAGTTTTTTCGATAAAGAATGCCAACTTCACATATTTTTGTTATATTTAAAATGTTGTTTATTTGAATGATTTGAATGTCAAAATTTAAAAGTTAATTTTTCTTTTTAAATGATGAAAACAAGGATGAATACTGGGATGTGACTATGATGGTCGATGAAATTATTACTTTACTTAAATGCTTAATTTTTTTTAGCACTAAACCAGCATGTTATTTTTCGAATATTCCTGGTGACTTTATGATTGGTAAGAATGAAATTTATACTATTGTTCTATAGCAAGTAGAATTTTAGTTGTTAAAATTTTCTAAATGTTAAGCAATATTTTGTTTGAATCAACATTTTATTTTGTTATATAAAATGTTTAGATATTTAATTGTATAATAAAATTTACTTATTTAAGTAATGTTATCTAAAGTTTATTATTATAACTATTGGTTCGCATTGACTGATTAGTTGTTGTAACTGTTATTTTGAAAAAAAAAATATTTGCGGAGCAATAATATGTGTGAAGTATATAATAATACACAATAAAGTTAAATTATAAAAAATATGTTATAATAAAGATAATGTGTCATTAGGTTTTATATTGTTTATATAAAAATTTAAACAGTGCTTAATTTGCATTCAAAACATAACTGACTTTACAAATTAAATATTTTTTTGTCTGTTTTTAATATGTAAAATAAAAATATGACATATTTAAGGCAACTTTAAATTAATTATAAAACAATAAAGAAACGATTTTTATTTACAAATTTTAATCTAACTTTTAATGAATTTGTAGTTAAAAATATTTTCCTTAAAATATTATATTGATTGAAAGAGAATTGATAAAGATACACTAATATTGAAACATAATGCAATGTTTTTTGAAAAAACTTTTGGTTTTTCCAATATACTTTTTTAAAAATTAATTTAATCTTTACACAGCCGTAGAAACATTTAGGGGGAGGGGGCATCATAAACGGAATATTGGGGAGGGGGTAGTACTACCCCATAATAGTTTTAAGGACCTTTTTATTTAGACAGTTTTTTGAAATATTATTGTGGGGGACAAATGCCCTATGGTCATATCGGTTACTACAGACCTCCTTTATGGTTTGATAATCTAATAATTCATCATTATTTTAAACCTGCAAGACACTTAACTGATAAAGGAAAATTTGAAATGGCAGTTTTATTTTGGAAACAATGGTCTACAAAAATGATTGATACATTATATGTTTGTAGCAAAATGTTTTTGACAAATATTTTTACTTCATTAGAAACTCGTTTACAGTATTTTCTCATATTTTTCAAATATATTAGGCTTAAAATTTTGATTACTTTGTAAAGTATTTATTTATAAATAATATATTTGTTCATTTTAAAAAGATAATTGTTTACAAATTATATTGTTTAGGTGTAATAATTTGGTTTAAAAGTTTATTCTATATGAGATATTAACATGTTTGACTCTTTTAGATCTTGATGTTCGTGTTGGATGTGTGTTAGGACATCATTTAATAACTAAAGAGCTTTATGCAATCCATCGAAATCAAAAGTTGTATTTATATTTTAATACAGTTTACAAAAAATGGCTTGGACTGACAAATCAACAATTCGAAAAAATCTCTACAAATCTTGATAATAAAGCAATGAAAAATTTTGAAATGGATGAAGATCAATTTTATACCTTTGATGCAAATGAGTGGATGGGTAGCTTTTTTTTCTTCTAATAGTTTTTATTTTTTCTTGATTTTTTATTTGTTTTTAAATTGTCAATGTTTTCAATTGAGGTCATATAAGTTATGATATTAAATATAAATTATTTGGATGATGATATACTTGATGAGGAACTTATGTAAAGTGCAGTTGCATGAATTTTTTTAATAACATGTTGCACTAATTTCAAAAGCATTTTTCAATGCCACTCCAAACATATTGAGAACCGTCCTTTTTTTATTACTATCTGTTTGTTTCTTGTTAATTAGAAACAATTTTATAAAACTAAAAGAAAACTTTCAGTTGAAACTGGCCTTACAAATTAGGTTACAAAACCTCTCTGAAAAAATAAAGATAAAAATTAGGCATGATAAAAATAAATGTGTTAATAGGTAGATTAAATGGAGTTTTTCAGAATAAGTGAGTTTTAGTTAATTTGAATTTATCAGGGAATTTCTATTCTCAAAAGAAGGTTGTATTGAACAAAATAGGTGTATTTTAATATTTTACATAACATGGGTAACTACATTATAAGCAAAGTTTTAAGATTTGCAGATTTTAATTTTTGTTTTAATTTCAAATTTTTACTCGACTCTTGGTAAATTGTTCTTTGATCTCCCAGGCCAACCGTTATTTGTTAATTCATTAATAAGCTTTTCCTTAAACAATTTCATCACAATTATGGAACTTTTATTCCATTGATTTGAATATTAATTTTCTTCACCGTTTGTTAAGCTGATAAAACAAAGTAGTATCTTTTGAATTTTATTATTCGAATATAAATTTTAAAACAATGCCCTTGTAGTTAACTTTATTGCTTGTTGATATATTTTTCACTAAATTAAAAAAGTTATTAAGTATTTAATAAAGTTCAAACTTTTGAACATGCGAAGTAAGTTTTAAATCTATTTATCTTTATATTTCTTTATAAGTTTTAAATCTATTTATCTTTATATCTTTCTTGGAAGGTTTTTGTAGAAAATGTAATTTTTTACCCATCCTGAGAATTTTTTCTTAACTCTTTTTTACCCTTTATTTGATTTTGTACGTAAAAGATTATATTTTTGTACGTAAAAGATTATATTTTTTATTTGATTTTGTACGTAAAAGATTATATTTTTTGCAACAGATTAAATTATAAGTAACCACGAATAAAAATTAAAAACAATGAGAACAAAGAATAAAGAGATTATCGGTAATCAACATTTAAATTACGATAACATGAATGAACATATAGTTTTTTTAAGTTGAAAAAAACTAAGAAATATAAAATTTTTCTTTTACTTATACTTTTTTAATTGTTTAAAATGCATTAGCATTTTAAACAATTTAAAGAGTATGTTAAGTGTTAACTACAGGTAGTGCTATATGCTACATGAAGTTTATGTGGCACAAATCTTTTTTTGTATCATGATCAACCAAAATGATTAGGTTTTTTTTTAATTAATACTAAACAAAACCAGATGCTTGATACATATATATGCTGTTAAACAAAGAATAAGAAAATTAATATAAAAGTTAGAACAAAGAAACCTGGCTTTTTTATAAACTATATTATTAATTTTGATTGGTAGCCCGTTCACGAAGGATTTTCATGTTTGAGTGGCATAGTCGTAAAATAACAAAGTAGCTAACTTTTTGCAAAAATACGTTGAAATGGCTGATAGACTAAGCCTTGACTTGATGTTAGAAGTTTGGTTATAGCTTCACTTTGCTATTTTATCACTTTTACTTCTAAGAAAAATCTTCATTTTGTACCAAGTATAAAAATAGCTTATTTAAATTACAGGCTGATAAAGCATGTTGTCAAGTTACGTATAATAATTGTTTTACCTTGTTTAAAAAGAATAAAAAAGTAAGCTTACCTTACTCCAAAAAAAATTGTTTTAAAAGAACCTTACTCAAAAAAAACCTTACTCAAAAAAAACTAAAGAGACAATAAAGTTTATTTATTATTTCTTTAAATAGTAAATTCGATCTTTTTAATTGTACTTTTATTTTTTTCAATATAAATTAAAAATAAATTAGCGTAAAAAAATTATATTATGTAGAGTTATTAAAATAATTTTAATTTCAAACAAATTTTCAGTTTAAACAATTTAAACGAAGCCTTTTATAATTAAATAACCTCCATATCAAAGTAACCGAATACAAATATTTAGGAGCTTTAGGAACTCCTCTACTGTAATCCGCAATGTTCTTGACGTAATTTCGTCCCAGTCCTGAAAAATGAGGATCCTAAACAAAAGGTTTTACACAGTAAAACCACTTTATTAGAACCCTCATTTTCCCTAGTACGCCCTGTCAGTTTTAAACGTCAACCCCTTATTTCCACTCTCGCATAATTTATTACAAATCAACACAAAGGACAAGTTTTATATAAAATTTAAACAAAAAAACTTGTTTAAACCAACATTTCTCGACTGCAAAAAATAATCTAAATGACCGTCTGAAAACAAATCTTATCAATAATGAGTTCGAAACTTAACACTGCAGTCTCAATAAAATTAGTTCGTGAAATATTTCGAGAAATGTCCCAAAAACAACAAAAAGATATTTTAGCGTTAATAAGTGCAAATTTAAAACTGGCTAATGATCGAATTGATGGATTGCTAAAAGAAATTAATACATTAAAGAATTCTTGTGATGTTTTAAAAAAGGAAAACGAAAACCGAAATACCGATCTTAAAAAAACAAACAAGCAGGTGATAAAGTATGAAAAAATACAAAAAGACATTGAAGAAAGTCTAACGTTCTATCAGGATTGCCATGATAAAAAAGTCAGCGATTTGAAACAAAAATTGATAAATGATAAAAAAGTCAGTCATCTGGAAAAAAAAAAAATGGTCGGATGCAACCATAGGGGAAAATGAAATAAATAGATTTGACAACTAGAAGATCGTCAAAGGAGAAACAATCTTCGAATCGAAGGAGTCAAAGAAAATGATAACGAAAACTGGGATGATACGGAAGTAAAAAAAATAAACCTTCTTGAAAATAACCTCAATGTAAAAGATGTAATCATAGAAAGAGCGCACAGAACTGGTATTATCGATAATAAAAAGCCTAGACCAATTGTAATTAAGTTACTAAATTATAAAGACAAAGTAAAGGTTTTAAAAAACGCCAACAAACTAAAAGGTTCTGGAATTTATATTAACGAGGATTTTTCGCTAGAAACTACTATAATAGGAAAGAAACTTCTTGAAGAAAGCAAAACGCATAGGATAAACGGTAAATATTCTGTTGTTATATATGATAAGCTCATTGTTAAAGAATTTAGAAAAAAAAATCATGTTAAATGATTTTTTTTTTTTTTTTTTAATTTATATTGATTTATTTTTTGTTTAAAATGGCTGATAATATTGTATTATCAAACATAAATTTTAATTCACAGAAAAAGCAAATAATTTTAAACAACTATTCGGATCCCGATTATAATTTTCTTAACGATAGTCAAGTAATTAAAAATACTAGCCCAATATACTATAACCAAATATTGATAAAGGAATGGAAGATATTTCGTTTTCAATGCTTCACATTAATATTAGAAGTATTCAAAAAAATTTTGAATCATTGAAAGAACTTTTACATAAAATTGACATTAGAATTCAGGTAATTTGTCTCAGCGAGACATGGTGTCACGATGTAAGCATTGAAAACAATTCCAATTTTCAATTACCTAATTATAAAGTAATTCATCGAGTTAGAGCATTAAATAAGGAAGGTGGAGGTTTGTGTATATACATAAAAAATTCAATTTTATTCAAAAGGAAACCACAGTTTAGTTCAACTACTAATGATTATGAATCTTTATGTATTAAAATTATTAATAAAACTTTAAGAAATATCGTCATCCATGCTTTATATAGACCGCCCTCAGGAAGTATTAAGGCATTTGAAAATCACATTAAAAGTATAATTAAAAAAAAAATCATCTTTAAATAAATCGGTTTGTATTGTTGGTGACATTATTCTTAATATATTAGAATACGACAAAAGTAAAAACATTAAGAACTTCTTTAACTCAATTTTACAAAATAGTTATATTACCCTAATCAATAAACCAACGCGAGTAACTAGAGAAAGTGCAACGTCTTTAGATCAAATTATTACAAATGATTTTGTAAATTTTAAAATAAGGACAGGTATATTTAAATCTGACATTTCTGATCACTTACCTATTTTTATTCTATCGCAAAAATACAACGACTATGATGCTCTTAGTGATAGAAAAAAGTTAATTACAACACAATTAATAAACGATACTTCCATCAAAAATTTTCATAAACTTGTTACTGGTGTCAACTGGGACACCCTACAACTAAATCTAAATGGCGATAAAGCATATGATATCTTTTTTACTGAATTTTTTAATCTTTATAATAAAGCATTCCCGGAAGTTACTAAAGTTATCAAAATAAAAACACTTTTAAACCCTTGGAGCACGAGGGGCATTCTTAAATCCTTTAACAAAAAACAACGTTTATATAACAAGTTTCTTAAAAAAAAACTCTTAAAAACGAAACTAATCACAAAACCTATAAACAGCTATATGAATCAGTTTTAAAACGCTCAAAGAAACATTACTATTCGGAACAATTATTTAAACACAAAAATGATTCGTAAGAAACATGGCAAATTATAAAGGAGGTAATTTACTTCCGAAAAATCTTAAAGTTAATAAATTTGTATTGTAAATAAATCCTAAGTGGCCAAAACACTTAATCAGTTTTTTGTAAATATAGGTAACTTCTCAAATACACTTTAAGTCTTACGTAACCTCAAACAACATTAGTGTTATGTCTAATCCTAAACTTACGGAAAATAAATTAATAGACACAGTCTCATTGTTAAAGCCCAAAAAAGAGTAGGTTTCGATTCTATAAGTATTAATGTCGTTATTAAATCGATAAAATACATCACAATTCCATTATTACATATTTTTAATTTATCTTTAAGACATGGTGTTTTTCCAGAAAACCTAAAAATTGCAAAAATCATTCCAATTTTAAAATCAGGCGATCCTTCTGAAGTTGCAAATTATCGTCCAATCTCAATTCTTAATTGTTTTTCTAAAATATTAGAGCGAGTTATGTATAATAGGCTTTATTCTTTTTTTAAATGTAAATAATATTCTTTACCATAAACATTATGGATTCAAATCTGGCCATTCCACCAATCATGCAATCATTTACCTTATTCAGAACATATTTAAATTGTTTGATGAAGACAAGTATACCCTAGGTCTTTTTATCGATTTAAGTAAAGCTTTCGATACAGTCAATCATCAAATCCTTCTATCGAAACTCAAAAGTTATGGCATAAAAAATACTAACTTGTCCTGGTTCGAGAGTTATTTGACCAATAGGAAGCAGTATATAGTTTATGATGAAGGAAAAACTAATTATGAGACAATTAAATGTGGTGTTCCTCAAGGATCAATTTTAGGGCCACTTCTATTACTTGTTTATATAAACGATTTAAATAAATTTTCTAACATTTTAAATACAATTTAATTTCCAGATGATACCAGCTTGTTTTTTTCCAATAAAGATATCAATATATTATTCCAAACATTAAACAAAGAACTAGACAAACTAACCCAATGGTTTAAATCAAATAAGTTATCTTTAAATATTACTAAAACAAAATACACTTTAGTCCATCGCCTACATAAAAAATCATATATTCCCTTAGAACTCCCAGACCTTTTTATTGACAATCAATTAATAAAGAGAGAGCAATCAATAAAGTTTTTAGGCGTGTTTCTAGACGAAAATGTAACCTGGAGGGAACACATAGGTGTAGTTGAAAATAAAATATCAAAAAACTTAGGTATAATGTACAAAGCAAAGCAGTTATTACATCAATCTTGTTTAAAAAACATTTACTTTTTTTTTATTAATTGCTACTTAAGTTATGCGAACATTGCTTGGTGTAGCACTAACGCAACGAAAATAAAAAAATTGCTTAGCAAACAAAAACAGGCTATAAGGATAAATTCAAACGTATATCGTTTTTCACACACACAAACACTTTTTAATGAACTCAATATCCTAAATGTATATAAACTAAACCTCTATCAAGTTCTTATTTTCATGTTCAAACTTGATAAAAATATATTACCAATCTTATTTTATTCAATTTTTCAAAAAATAAATCACATATAACCTACAAGATTTTTCAAAATACAACTACATTCAATCCAAAACTTATTATTCCGCTACTAAATTCTCTATTGTAAACCGAGGACCAAAGTTGTGGAACATAATATTAAATAATGAAATGAAAACTGATTATTCTCTAAACCAATTCAAAACAAAACTTAAGCAATTACTTTTGTTAACTAAAAATGAATTAAATTTTTTCTAATAAAACTTCTTTGTATAAGAAATCAATAATTAATAGTTAATAAATTAATTACTTTAGATTATTAATACATAATTAATCAACAATTGTACATATATTTTTATCATTTTTAATGATAATCTTTTTTTTGAGAAATTTATTTTTTAATTTTGCGTTATTTATTAATCTTTTACTTTTATCTTGTACTGTTTATTTGCTTTTACGTAATTGGCAATGAAAAGTATTATAAATATAATTAAATAAGTTAAACTATAAAATGCTCTACCAATGAAATGTTTTTATATAAAATCATATCTTCTTATTTTTCAAACCAAGTCTTAATGTTGTTTTTGTCATTTTAATATTTTATTAAATTTTGTTTCTTTTATTTTACAAAACAATTGTTAAATCTTATTCTTTGAAAAACTATAAATTTTAAACGATATGCGATATATTTAAACTTTCTTTTATAATATAAACCAGAGATATATACATTGAAACTATATTTTATTGTTAAACTATATACTGTCTAGTAATGACGCATTTTTTGGGGCTTAATAATAAGACTAAATTTGTCTTCTTCTAGCCCCGGTCATGTAATTATTTTTTTTATAAGTTACGACTGTAAATTTTTTTTTTTTCAAAAAAAGAGCTACTTTAGATAAAAGGTTGTCAGGAAGATCGTTTATGTAGATAAGAAACAAAACAGGGCCCAGGATGGAACCTTGGGGAACCCCAGAAGTTACTGGAAATAAAGAAGAGTGTTGGCCTTCAAGGATGACTTTAATAAACCGGTTAGAAAGAAATGATTTGATAATCTCAAAAGCTTTCCCAGAAACACCATATGAAGCAAGCTTATGGAGAAGACTAGCATGCCAAACTTTGTCGAAAGCTTTAGATATGTCAAGAGCAATAGCCCTAGCCTCACCGCCTCCATCTAATGCACGATAAAATCTTTCAGTTACAGCAGTTAGCAAGTCGGCCGTAGAGCGAGAGGATCGAAAACCGTATTGATTGTCTGACAGCAGTTTATTTGACTCAAGATGAGATGTGAGAAATTTGTTGATCAAAGACTCAAAGACCTTGCTAATAACAGAAAGAAGACTGATCGGACGATAATTGGAGGGGTCAGAATTTTCTCCAGAGTTTTTGAATATTGGAACCACACATGCCATTTATATTATATTATATTATATACATATATATATAAATAAATTTTAATATATATTAAATAAATATATTGATATATTAAATAGAAAAGTTATTCATAGATAATTTTTCAAGGTTTTTAATTTAAAGGTATTTTTTATGTTGAATATAAACAAGGTAAAAATACAAAATAAATTTTAGTTTACAAAATTTGCAATGCGCAATTTAGGTTCTAAACAATTTTTGTGTAAATTTTACTAGTTCTTATTTGAAATCTTTAAGTTTGGTAAAAAATTTGTTTGGTAAGATATTATGAATTTATTATGTTTATTCAAATTGTAAAACAACTAGTTCGATTGTTAGTTTAATAATATTATTTTTCTTAGGCAACGCAGAGGGATTGTTTTATCGCAACAATTCGTTAAGTTTATGGAAGCAAAGAGTCAAGTGGAATCATTAAATATTTAAAATTTTTATAGTTATCGAATTAAGAACTTTTTTATTATATATATATATATATATATATATATATATATATATATATATATATATATATATATATATATATATATATATATATATATATATATATATATATATATTAATAATTATGTATAAGTAAACTAGTTATTAATTCATTGAGAGATTTCAAATTTTATAATTAAATTAATCAGTGATAAAAATTAATTAGTGTTAAATATTGAGTAAGAAAAACTAATTCCGCGCTGAAACTACCCAGCTAGCACATTAAGTTCTAAATGCGCATTTAAAACTTGTTTGAATGCGCATCATTCTGCAAAGATGTTAGCCATTTTATCGTTTTAAACACGAATTTGAAATAGCATCAGATGCATTTTAAAACAAGTAAGCCATGTGAATCCTATTGAGTTTTAAACTTGCATTTGAAACTCTTGTAAATACTCTTTAAACGCAATAGTTAGATATTATTCAATACGGTGTTTTTTTTGTTATTAAATGCGCATTCAAAACTTTTCAGAATACGTGTCATTCACGAATGTATGTTAGCCATTTAACTGAGCACAAAAAGCACCAGAATTACGTTTTAGACGCGTAGATTATTAAACACATAATAATTTTTATTACATGTTTATACAAACGTGCACACGCATTCGCTCTAAAAATAATAACAAAACACCTGAAAATTTTATCAAATTGACTATTTTAGTGTTTAATATGCATATCAATATTATATATTTTTTAATATTATATAAATACTAAAATAATAACAAAACACCTGAAAATTTTATCAAATTGACTAGTACAGTGTTTAATATGCATATCAATATTATATATTTTTTAATATTATATAAATATGTTCATGTTATAATGTTAATAAAAATGTTAATAAAAAAGTTGCACCAAATTCTTTTACTAATATACTAATGTATTATTTACCTCGTGTTATATAAATGTATCATTTCTTAAAATTTCTTACAAATACTATTTATACAACTTAAATTACACTATACAACATAATATTCAAAAAGTACATTAATAGACAAACAATTCAAATCCATTTTATTGAAAGATTTGACTGTATTCGCCTTTGGCGGTAAATCATAAAGTAGGGCAATTTCAAAGAAAAACAAAATTTATAATAGTTCCTTCTTTATAAAAATAGTTCTTTCAAATTTAAGAATAGTTCAATAATTCAAGAAAATTAAAAAACTCTATATTAAAATAAAAAGAAAATAACTTAACTAAATGAAAGGTTTTTACTTTAATTTTAATGCATGCAGTTAGTTTTAAGTGAGATAAATCTATAAAAATATTAAAAGTTTTAATTGACTTATATTTCTGCTAGGTTTACCAGTACTACCAGTTCTATTCTTCGTTGCTCATTTTGCTTTAATTTTAATTCTTATCAAAAGAAACAACAAAGATTTTTATAATTTCTATAGCACTATATAACTGAATATGTAAAAGCAAAGATTAATAACAATATAAAAATTTCTAATTTTCTATTGTTTTATAAAAATTTTATTTATAGCAGTTTTTATACTAATATTCATATAATTAACAACCTTAGCATAAATACAATAAACACATAAACTCAAACAAAAATTTTATTTGAAGTTTTAAACTTATTCTAAAATGTTAAAAGCAATATTAATTTTATATGCTAATTCTGCATTTTATATTATACCCAAAGGGTTTAAGAGAATTGAGCATTCGTTATACCATTAATTTTTTAATTTTGTAAGTTTTCAAATTTAAATGCAGATGTATTATTTACAGAACAACTATAATATTTAAACCACCAACAATATAAAGCAAACTATGATTATTATAAGTTACAGATCTTAAATGATTTATGGATAAAAGTAAGTAAATGCAACATTTAACAAATCCATGCGCTAAAGCATCTCAAGTGAAACAATGCAAAACAAATCCGTACTGCTTTTCATAATTATCTAACCCATTAATTGTTAGATTAAAATTCTGCTATAAAATCTTATAAACAAAATTGTGTCATGAAAACTTCATGACAATGCATTTTCAATATAAATAGTCACTGGAAAAGGACAAGATATTATATTTTAGCATTAAACAAAATATTGTCTCCAATTGCTAACAATTGGAGCACTTAATAGGAAGTCCATCAGTATTTAGATCAATAGTTTTAAAGTTTATAACTACTTTAAAGCTTGAGAAATTTAAATGCTACGACACTTTGTCAGTACAACTTGGATACAATATAAATTAGAGTTCTAGTTAATGCTTGGACATCTTTTGGTATTTCACATTTTTCGAATTTTCTAAACTGCATTAGAAAGATCTTCAGGTAAGACGAATAATCTTCAGTTATCAGTTCATCTACTGAACTTGACAACATATGGGCAAACAGTGCTAGAGATATATTTATTATCACTTGTTATGGCCTTGTTATCACATATTAGGGCAAAGATTGCTAGATATATATTTAACATCACATATAGCTATGTTACACCTTTATAACATATATATGCAAACCGTAATAGAGGTATATCTACCTAGATATACCTTCATTACAGTTTGCACTGATATGTTGGTATATGTAATAACACTTTAGCAGAACCATAAATATTGTTTTGCTAAAGCATTATCACGTTTATTAACATATCATTGGAAATTGTAAGTACAGTTTGCATATGTAACTACAACAACGACAATATATTTACCGCTCACATTTAATGGTTGTATTGTTTCTTTAAAATTCGTTATATTCTCAAAATCCGAAGCTTTTCATTATTTTAGGGTCCTAATGAGGCTTATTTTTGAAGAGTAACGCCTCTGATTCACTAGCTACGGCACTGTTCTATGAAGTTACCTTTATTTGACACGTGTTTGTCCTGGTCCTGAACAAGACCAAGTCTGATTTAATTTATTTAATCATTACACAGCAAAATCCAAAATTCTTTTTTTAACCAAAAAAAGTCTGAAAACAAAAAAAAATGACTTGTCCGCAATGTAAAAATATTTTTTTTTATTTCAAAAGTTTTTATTCTTGAATTATTTTCTTTCTTGTTTTAAGAACTTTTTTTCTTAAATCTTTTTTTATTCTTGTTTCAAGAATTTTATTCTTCAAACAAGAATTTTTTTCTTGTTTCAAGAATTTTTATTCTTAAAACAATAATTTTTTTCTTGCTTTAAGAATTTTTATTTTTAATATAAGAATTTTTTTCTTGTTTTAAGAACTTTTATTCTTAATATATAAACTTTTTTCTTGTTTTAAGAATTTTTATTCATAAAAACAAGAAATTTTTGCTTGTTTCAAAAATTTTTATTCATAATATAAAATTTTTTTTTTCTTGTTTTAAGAACTTTTATTATTAATATAAGAACTTTTTTCTTGTTTTAAGAATTTTTATTCTGAAAACAAAAAACTTTTTTTCCTGTTCAAGAACTTATATTCTTAAATTCAGATTTTTTTTCTTATTCGAGAACTTATATTCTTAAAATTATGTATTTTTGTCTTGTTTCAATAATTTATATTCCTTATAAAAAATCATTTTTTACTTGTTTCAATGTTATTTTTATTTATAATAAGATTCTATTTTTTTGTTTCAATAATATTTCCCCTGAACTATAAAACAATATTACAAAAGTACTTTTTCTATAGAAAAAATGAAACATTACTTTAAATATAGGGTGATAAATAAAAAGAATATTCTAAAAGCATTTATACATTTAAACAACAAATCTAATTGTTAAATTAATAAATTGTTCTTTGGAATGTTTTACTATTTTTCATGCTTGTAGCAGCAATAATTCATGTCCGTGACAAGTGTATTTCAATAAGTTTCATCGCGAAGTCAGAAATAAAAAACTTCATAAAATAATCTTTTGCCACACATAATAATCACTTCGTCTCCATCGTCTGTTACGTACAGATAAGGATTTTTTATATGTGAAAATATATTATACTAACTCAAAATTTATATATATATATATAAATATATATATATATATATATATATATATATATATATATATATATATATATATATGCATATATATATATATATATATATATATATATATATATATATATATATATATATATATATATATATATATATATATATATATATATATATATATACATATATATATATATATATATATATATATATATATATATATATATATATATATATGAGCCGTAGCCACAATTTAAATATTAAGAGGGCCCATATTACATAATAAGATCTTTTTTTTTTTGGTAACAAAAATAGCATGGGAAAACCCCCCATCTTCAAGAACTATAGCCTATAGTTCTTGAAGATGAAGGGTTATAAGATTATATAATAACTATAGTTCTTTTAAAGGAGGGAGGGGATAAAATATTTGTAAAATATATAATTTTTCCCTAATAATTGTAGTTTAATAATTTTTTTGAAGTGGTCTAGGCTCATATATATAAATATATATATATATATATATATATATATATATATATATATATATATATATATATATATATATATATATATATATATATATATATATATATATATATATATATATATTAAGCAGCCGTGGCGCAGTGGTTAGAGTTCTGGCTCAGAACCCAGAGGTCCGAGGTTCGACGCCAGCTCTAGCCCAACAAAAGCGACATTGGTACGGAAGGAGGCGTGAACTTCCTGTTAAATGCTCTCCCGCGGCGCTCTATGATAAGACCGTAAGTCCCGCGGTGCTCTATGATAAGACCGTAAGTACTTCTGGGAGCACCTAAATACATACAAAAAAAATATATATATATATAAGTGTTTTCAAAATATCATACAAATTTACAGCTTTTTCTAAAACAATTTGTCCAGTTTTAGTCCTTTTAAAGTAATTGCAGCAAGTACTTCGTTAAGTGTTTAACTTTAGTGTCTAAAAATACATTCCTTATTTAATTATTAATTGATTTCAATACATTGTTGTATCTAACTCTAACCCAACCTAGCAAAAACATAAAAATGCTTGAGGTTGGCA